TTCATCTCTGTATAAAAAAAAAAAAAAAATCTGTGCTGTTGCTAACTTTTAATCTCTATCATATTTTCAAGTTTCTCCTCCAAAGGTTTACCAATCAATTTTTCCTAAGTTTACCTTTTACGGGTGACATAATTAGTCATGCCTCATCGACAACACAACTCGGGAGCAAGTAATGTCTTTTCAGCAAATGGTGCTCTATGTGATATGGTTGTGTTTTGTATGAGAAATGTTGAATATATCATTGCAGTATTTGAAGTTACATGGCTATGTCTCGGGGCTTAAGGCTTCCCTGGAAATCCAGCAGCTTTTATCCCATTATTTATGTTAGATGCTAGGAGAATATTACTTAAGTGTCTCTGTCAACCTTGAAGTGTCCTCTTGAGTATTGTGTCATGTGTTATAGTTCCTGGAAGGTGTTTACATTTAATGATCTGTTGCAATATACTGTTGTCATCAAACTTTTTTTTTTCATTTTATCCAAGATTAGATTACAAACCAGAATTTTATGAACATTCAACTTTCGTCAAATTTAAAAATAAAACACTTTTTTTAGACCTACTTTATATTTTGCTATATAAACCCGGCACGTGTTTTTTCACATCGATTTAGGCGTGTTCGCACGCGTGGTGATTTTTCTAGCAAATGGTTCACACAAACGCCGTCAGCATCGAGGTAGCGAAAATTTGACTCCTCTCCTAATGCAAATTTAACACAACGCGTTTATAGGTGACGACAGACGGGTGACTTGCGCCTCACGAGTATTTTCCGTGTGACGTGACGTGAACATTGAGGGCGACGCAAAACGTTCCCTCGTCCCGACCCGACCCCCTGCACTGAGCCCCCACCTACCTGGGTAGCCCACTCGCTCCACACCGCTGCTTAGCAGGTTGGCCTACCCAGCGCGTTGCAGGCGCTCACATACTGACATGGCTCGGCGATGACTCCGTTTGAGAAGAGGGCCTCACTGTCATGTGGCTAGGTACGGTCAGGTCATGGTGGCCTAACGTTTCCTAGGTGCCGTCACGGCTGTGCGAACGCAGTCTAGAATTTATAAAAGCCCAAGCAGGACTTGTCCCCGCGTCTGTTGCCCCACGACGCCTGCTGGGCGGCCATTCTCCTCTGCGGGGTGACATATGGGTTGCCTACCCACTATTGCGCGGGCGCTCCGCTCGCGGTCCGGCCTGGCCCGAGCTTGTACAGGAGACTCCTGTACTGTACTCGTGCACGTCAAAGCTGTTCAGACAACCATCAAAACGCGTGGAGTCTAGTTTCCCTGCTCTCCCCGCGTTCGTCTGCGAATGCAGCCCACCAAGGCAAGGGAGGGCTAGGAACAGGCAAGTAATTATTGGCTAATTTATTCGAGTGGCTCTGTTGGGAGCAGCCTTCCAGCCGCAAAGATCAGTTCGCCTGGACAATGTTCACATTTCTTCCAAAGCCTGTTTTCTTTGGGGCCGAACAAAAGCATCGCAGCATCCTTCCCGCTCCCCTCCCTCGTGCTCTGGCGCTCCGTAACCTAGCCTTGGCAACGAACGGCGGCAAGCCGATGTCTGGGGAAGAAGTAGATAATACCAGTAAGTCCCAGTTCAGGCAAGATCCCCACTAGGACGCCATGTCTTTGCCGGGCCGCCGCCGGGTCGCGGATGCAGCCCGTCTCGGTCGCACCATATGAGCTGCGTGGTCCGATCACGCACGGGAGCCTGGCTTTCTCGACAGGCTCCGGGACCTCCGGGTACCACCTGGGCTCCTCCTGGATGCAGAGCACACGCGACTGCCGCCTCCTCCACCTGGGGTGCGTTTTGCGTTTTGGGGGAACAACTTCGGGAATCGTCTGTAGAGGGCGGGTGATCCACGCCGTGTTTTTTTCTCTGTTTATACTGTACCGGATGCATGCGTGCGAGCGGGCTTGCCTATCGTCGCTCGCCATGGCGCCTTACGGCCACGTGCGAGTATGCAACCCGTCCGCACGCATGAATCCGGCACAGTTTAGGTAGAGAAAAAACAAGGCGCGCATCCTGTACACCTGCCTGGGAATCATCAGGATAAAATTAATCGAAATCAACAGAGAACGCAACTAAGCGGGGAACTAGTGGAACTAGCTCCTAACCAACCCCCACCCCTTTTCTACTTCTTTTGAACTCTATCGTATTTTTATTTTTCGCACCCCCCCCCCATTTCCCCTCGCCAAAAAAGTCTCACGGCACTTCCCTCACCTACCAGTGTCCACTGTGCACTTTCTCTACTCTCTATATGACACTAGGACAATTTGTTCGTGACTAATTTATTTCTGTGCACCGTTCTCTATTTATTCGACTTTGTTGCACAGTGTTGTAACTAAAGCTGAAAACTCCCGTGGTCTACATCCCTACGCTACGCTGCTTTGGACTTGCTCAGGTAGGTAATGCTCAAGCTCCACACGTCTTGGCGAGCGGTGTACCCGGCCACGTCGGACGTCGGATTGACTCGGGCCGCTCAAACTCGCGAGGTAAGCGATTTGCTAATGGCGCGGTGGGCGGGGCGGGGCGGTGCGAAGTCATTCGCGTGCGCCGCATGGCCTCCTTGGAGTTGTTGGGCTCCTCGGCGCGCGATTCGGTTCTGGTCGGTTTAGCCCGGCCGGCCGGCCGGCCGATGAGATGGATCTGAATAAATCTCAGTCTGGCCTGGCGGGGCGTCGTGGCGCGGCGTGGCGCCAAATGAGATCAGGCTCAGGCTCGTCGGTCGGCTCTCAGCAGCTCCGACCAGCCCAGCCTCCCGCTCCGCGCCCGCAGCGCCCGCAGCGCGGTCCGGATCAAACCGGAGCCATGCGGCCGCGGCCGCGGCGCGCCAGCTCCGCCCCGCCACCCGCCACGCGTGACCTGGCCTGGGCGCGGAGGGCAGCGCGAGAGCCCAATGATCCCGCCGCCCTGCCGCCGCCGCGCGTCCTTCCCCGGGTCACGGGCTCTGAGAGGGCCCGCGGTGCCCAGCGCGCCCCCCAATCTCTGCAGCTGGGCACGACGCCCGTTGTGGGCGGCGGCGCGGGGCGCGGGGGCTGCTGGCACACTCACACGCTCTATCGTGCGGCTTAGCAGGGGCCGTTCTTTTTGGACACAGTGGGGGAAGGCCTCCGCGGCGAACCTAGAGGGCTGGACGACCCTTGTCCCCAGGCCGCCATTCCCCCCTCCCCTCATCACCCCCGCCGCCCCGCCTGTAGTGGAAGAGCACACATATCGGGCGGTTTGCCCCGCACCACCCCGCCCCGCTCGCCTGCGCTAGGACCCGGAGCGGGACGGACCGGCCGCCGCCGGCCCGCTGTGGGTGCGGGTACCCCCCGCCGGCTCCACCCGGCCCCGCCCCGGGCCAGACCTGGCGGTGCCCTGCATGGCGGGTGCCGGCGTCGGCGGGATGGCGGGGGGTGCCTGCCCGGCGCGGGCTGGCCACCAGTGCCCACCAGTGGCACTCACTCGGTTATCAGTAGTGGCGGTGCAGCGGGCTGAGGAGGGCGACCAGGCTGGGCGAGAGCAGATCGACCATCGGCACCACCTCGACGTGTAAGCGAGCGGGCTGAGAGAACGGCGAATCCCCGTTCCTCCATAGCGTAGCGTGTCGCCGTCGTGTATAGGAATGCGACGGGGACAACGGAAGGACCAGCACCCCGGACAGCGGACGGCGCGCCCCTGCGTGTCCTCGTGCCGTGAGCAGCGGACCTTGTCGGGCCACACCCTGTAGGACCCTGGCCCGGAGTAGAGGTGTCCCACCCCCCGCGCCGAGCAGGCGCCGGGGCGTCGGCCGACCAGCCTGGCGCCATCACGTAAGAGGCCGCCCATTTCGGCCACGACCCCGCGCAGGCCGGCGGGGTGCCCCGCGGGGCGGCGGGGTGGTGGCCGGGCCGGGCGCCACAGGTGCCGGCCCAGTCAGTCCCAGTGCGGGGCCGCGGCGCAGGACAGTCCCTGTGTAATGCATTCGCGAGGCCGCCGGCCCGCCGCCGGCCCGCCGCCGCACCTGTGACCCCGCGAGGGAGCCGGATTCGGTTACCGGCCGCGCGGGCCGCGCGTGCGAGCGAGACGACCGCAGGTGTGCGGCTCACCCTGCCGGGCCTGGCCGTGGGCTTGGCCGCGTCACCCTCACCTCAGTTAGTGTCCCGCCGGCGCCGGGAGAGCCTCGCCCGCCTCGCCACCGACCCCCCGGGGGCAGCGCGCCGCTCCGTGCACGGTACTCCCGGACAACAGCTTGGATACGTCATTCTGATGACGGACAAAATGTGATCAGGAGCGGCCTGTTTTGAGGCAATGTGATGTTTGTGACGTGCAGGGTGGGTGATTCGCGCCATCTTTTTTCCGGGTATACTGTATACTGTATATCGGATTCTGGCGGACCTCGGATCGAACTCCCAAACGCTCCATATTCGTTAAGCATCCCCATCACCCTTGTCCCACGTGGTCCACGTGCCCAACCCTTATCATCGACCGTGGACTCCGATATCACCTGGTCATGGTCAGCCGACCCCGCCCCACCCCGCCCCGGTCTAGGCACCTGACACGCGGTGACGAGTCACGTGTCCAACGGGAAACGCCCTCCGTGCTGTCCGTGGTCATGTGGACCATCCGGATGGTGGTTCGTGGGTCCGGGTCCAGTACCATGTACCATCCCGGGCCCGGGCTGCCGCGACTGATAACAAGGACCGGTTCTCTATCCAGATACCCCCGTGGTAATCGGTTTGCTCTTTTATCGGGCGGAAGAGAGCATGGAGAGCATGCAGCAGCAGGTCAGCTGGGCCCGTCTGCCTGTCCCTGCGAGTCTCTGACCCTCCTTGAGATAGATTTGAAGTACGCATCCCAGGCTACTTGTCTTATTGCATCGTAGTAACGAGCTGAGCTGGACAGATGAGACCAACGAAATCGCTTCGTCCGTCTTTGACGGTTTTCTAATTTTTCCCGATTTTTCCTCTTTCCAGAACAACGAGTTGCCGAGGTTGCCCCATACCGTCCCTTCTCGATCAGCTACGCTTGACCGTGTCGACCCGTTTTGCCAACAGGTGATCCAGCAGCAGCGTCCCGCACAGCGTCATGACTCCCTTCACATCCTTCAGCACGAGGTGGGCGGCGGTTGCCTTCGTCTTGGCGGTCGCAATACTGGCAGCACTGCCCTCAGGTAAGTCACGGTAGCTGCTTACCACCCCTCTCATCACCTACAAGCTGCCTTTTCACAAAATGTTATGTATCGCATGTTTACAATGTAGTATCCAGCATACGCTGCTTCGAGTGCAACTCGGTGAAAGACCCCTACTGCCAAGACCTGAAAGCGAACGAGAGCGCCTCGCAGGCCTACCTCAAGGACTGCAAGGACACCAACATGCCGCAGGGCGCAGAACCGTTCTGCAGGAAGATCGTCCAGACCAGTGAGTGCAGTACAGTGCCGTGCCGTCTGTGAAAACAAGAGTGGCGAATCGAGTCGCGTGAGCGAGGTGACGGGGAAGGGGGAGGGGGGGAGG